GTAGTGAAAGAAAAGTGTATTTGGCCATCTGTATTGTAATGTAATCTAATGTAGGTACACCTACGCAATTAGAAAACACAAAATTTAACCTTACAAGTTGAAGTAGCTATGTAGATACTACATTTTGTGTCTCAAATAGGCCTATATTTTGCGTCGTTTGGTATATTATTGTAATGGGGGTCCGATGTTTTTTCGAGGTGCTTCTCTCGTGTTGATTGGAGCACTTTAGGGCTTTGCGGTGTTTGTCTACCGTTGATAGAAATGCTCGTTATTTGTACGGATTCCTCTAATAATCAACTGTTGCCTCTAAATACCTATTGGTAAAACATGATGAATTTTGAAGATGTTATTATTGCCTAGTCTCGGAAATTCCAGCTACCTTAATAGCGTAACCGTATTCAAGGACAAGTTCAGACAACTCAGTTCTAGAGATCCTAGACCTGTGGTCAAAGGAATGGAACTGTAGAATGATACAATTTTGGGCAATTACCGTTGACTATAAAATTGCATAGAAAAGCTTAATAAATAAAAATCAATCATTCTTAGCTCTATGCTGCATTACTCATTCTAGACTTACAAATATTTTGTCATAAGTAACGTGCTTAATATTGAATTGATTCTTATCTGCTGGGTATGTCTATGCATTACGTAGTCTGTCAACATACATATAGGTATAGTTAGTAGTTTTTTTAAATATATACAAATGTATATAATTTTAGCTTATGCGCTAAAATTATTTGTCTCAAAACAAGGAAACCTTTGCTAACAAACAGCTTTCGCATCGCGTCGGCGCCGGCGCGTTGACAGGCGGTAACAAAGTGTGCCGATACAGCCCGCCTGTAATTGCTCCAATCCGGCGGAAAACACGTCCTGCTATATTTATTTATTTACTTTAGTATTTACTGCAACAGTAACGCTTTTAACGAGGGCCGCTTTTGTCGCGCAGTTTTTGTTTGACGCGATTTTGATTCGCGTTCATCAATCGATCCGTGCTTCGGTAGTAGAATGCTTCTGTTTTATAACGTTTTGGCGGATGTTTCTTTTCTTTGCACAATGTTGTTATTGGCGACGAAATGTCCGAAGACGAAGAGTACGAAATAGTAATTGGCGTTAGTTAGAATAACTGTTTTTATAACTTAACTTAACTATTTAACTTAACTATTTAGTAACTGTTTTACTATGGCCAATCCTTGCACTATGACGCGGAGCGTTTGCTACTTTTTGGACTAACTGTACGTTTTCTTCTCAATTGAATGTCTCTTTATTTGATAGATTTATGACGAAATAATACGATTTATGAAATTTTTGGGAGTTGGCATATGATTGTTAACACATTAGCGCCAAGTGTTCAATCAGGTATTTAGTCCTCTGTTCACTGTTCATATATAATAACCGCGTTACAATATTTTTTTATTCGAACTGTTAGTTCACGAGAGCTATGAGGTTGTTAAATATTTGTCTGGTGGCGTTCAACACGGCCAAAGACCGCATACCACTCAGCTAAAAGCTGCTGTCGCCATGCTTTTGGCGCAAACGGAGATATTTTGCTCATTATCGTGAACTCGAAGTAAATTCGTGTTAAGTGCTGCTGTTCTAGTATGCTATCACTAAGGAACAAAACTTTTAGAGATGAGCCGCTTGCTTTTTTAAATATATATCTATAAATAAATTGAAAATTAGTTCACTGTTAGTTAGAAGCAGAGAGCCCCTTGTGAAAGAGTTCGTCCAGGGAAGTATTGCCACCTTACCTATCTTTGCCGCCAACTGTGTTCCGGTTTTGAAGGATAAGGATGCTGATGAAATTATAGACACATGCGACTTGTCAACTTATGTATGAGGGTGACGGGCACAGTGGTAGTGCCCCTCAGAGCTTTGCGATTTGAAGCTCTAAGTATATGGACAGGCGTGTAACATACCATCAAGCGCACCACTTGTTCGTCCCGCCACTTGATATTATAAAAAAATAGTTAGGTAGGTATTAGAGTAATGTGATAAATGATAGGTTACATTACAATAAGAGTCTGCGAACGCATACCCAAGATATTTGGTATGTAAATTAATAAGACTTAAAATAAAATCAACTCATATAAAGCGTTTTGTAGTCAATTACGTGTTCTCCATATATTTTGAGAAATAACAAGTCAAATTTAATTGTAGAGATGTGAATAGATGAAGATAAATTTTTCGGTGAAAGAAATATCCCTGAATTCACAGCATGCATATGAACAGTAGCTCAACAGTATAGATTAGCTCAATCGTACGGGAAACACGTCGGCTGTCGGTCGCGCCGCATCCGTGTCGTCGGCGCACCGCCGTCGTCGCCGCGTCGCTGTCGATGCGATGCTATTCTGTTATTACTGCCGTCTACATCCCCTCGTCACAATCTAGGTTTAACTTTGATCACAGAATTTACTTGTGATGAACAACACTGATAAAAACAATGTGATTGAAATGAACACGATATTGTTAAAGGTGATCTAAAATATATGTAACTGGTTTCCTTGTAACATGTTCTGAGTACCTATATCAAACACAACGGCTTGCGGCAACCATTTTAAGTAATTTAATCAAGTTAGCTCATCAAGATATTTAGGAATGAAATTATTGTTTTTCAGTGAATTGAGCATAGCTACTTTAACGTAGGTATATTAGATCACATTTGTGGATGTCTATAGTCTCTGCCCAAAGTGAGGCACGAGCGATGGTACGCAGTAGGTGCGTGTGTATTAACGTTTATATTTTCAGCTACCTGATTAAAGGGATTAAGATTATGAGAATTGTGGACGTGTACAAATGGTTTATTAATTGTGGTAAGTTACAGGAGGTTACTTTTTCATAAAAGAGAAAATAATTAATTAAATTTTTATTGAATTGATATTCAATTATTTTTTGTGAAATTACTAAACTAGTTTGTTATAACTATTAACACAAAGATCGAACACTCAGAAAAAACACTCAGAAAACTAACTGGGTGATAAATCTGTCATAGATATCTCATAGATGGCGCTACGACTAAAAAGTCGTTGAAAGACCAAGTACAAAGACACGACGCAAGCACATAGAAAAATTCGTGAGGTCCGTTGGTTCGTTCCGTGACTTAGTTGGTATAGCGTCTGGCACGGTATGCAAGAAGACGTCGGTTCGAATCCGACCTGATCGAAGGAATTTTTTCTGACTGTTCGATCTTTGTATTAATAGTTATAACAAACTAGTGGAGAAAATAATTATTTATGCAAAGGTCGAACACAGAGAAAAATTATAACAAGCTAGTGGAGTAATTTCACAAAAAGTATTTATAAGTAAGTAACAATTAGGAAAGAATTTCACAAAAAAATAACTGAATATCGGTAGCAGAACATCGTGATAGTCAATAAACTTCATGTTACAGAAAATAATTGTTATAATATTTGTTCAACGAGAAATGTACGTCATTACAATGCTAAACTAAAGAACTTAAACAAATAGAATATACTGTGGACTGTACGAGCAGGTACAAGTGTAAATTTAAATAAATAAATAAATAAATAAATAAATAAATTTATGAAATAGGTATTGTGCAATGAAATGATAAGTAGAATGTATCACGGGCGAGGTATTCATTATTGTGATTTTGTATTCAACAATTATTGAAATGAATTTACACTAACTTATTTCTTATTAAAGATGTCGTGGCTATAAATAATTTTAAGGATTTTTTAATTCCGATTTTATTTTATTATATAAGAATTATGAACCTTTTTAGCACCTTCCGATTTCGCCGGTCCTATGAAGTAGACTGTATTGAATTGGGTACGAAAACAGCATATATATGTATATACATATACCTAAAAGAATGATATAATATGTGGCATAGGTATTTTGCAAGTAAGTACCTACTTTAATATTTTGGTTGTTCTCACACAAGATAAGTATGATCAGAAAACCCGGTTGTTGAAAACGGATATACCTACCTAAAACACATGCCAGCCGGCACAGCGATACAGCGACAACATAGCGACCTGGCGGCGGCGGGAGGCGTGGCGGGGCGTGGGCGGGGCTCCATTGTTTCACTGTTTACCGGAACTTTGTTTCATACACTCTATTTGTGGTCCTTTAGCCTATGTAGCATAAAGTCGAACATTTGTTATATAGGACATAGTCATTAAATGTTTCGAATTGTGGTCAAAGTTTAAATATTCTTTCGAAATGCTGATTCAATTATAATTGGATATTTCCCAAACAAAGTTACCAATAGGTAAGCTGTGTTTAAGAATGTCTACATTTTTAGGATAGCGCTAATCGCGGCTAATGGTGCACTACGTTCAAGATAATATTGTTTTACGGTAACCAGAGACGATCCAATATTTTTTGAATATTTATTCAAAGGCCCAAGTAAAAAATATGGTCGCTATCTAGTATTATATTCAATTTATAAAAACCAACGTAACAATAGGACATTGTAGCCACTATCACATTTGTTAATGATCTTTGCTTTATGCTCCGTTTTTGTACTACAATAAATACGACAATTAATAGCATAACAAAGGGAATTTTTATTCAGAGTGACGTAGGTACAAAATTTGTCAAATTTCACCGCCTAATTTATAGTGTAGCAGTCGCGACTGCTGCTATGTTTAAAAAACACTATTAGTGACAGCCGCGACCCGCTCTGCCGGCGTTCATTACACCGCACTAAATAAACTCCTAAACAACGCGTGAAAAATTACAAAAAACTGTTTACAGCCCATAACTGATCAAGTTAATTTTTGTTTTTTAACCCTAACGCAACCCTATCGCGCCGCATAAGCATGATCGTCGATGTGGCGTGCGTCGGCAACTTGTTAGAGGAAAGTCTCCCGTATGTCGTTCGCGTGCGGCGCGTTGAGAGTGCATGTGTATCTTTGTTGCGCTGTGTCGGCATGGAGTGCGAAAGGTGGGGTGTCGCGCTGGGCGGGGCGGCGGGCGGGGCCCGGCGGCGGTCGGCGCTGCGCCTTTAGTTGTGAGCGCGCGGCTCGCGATGCCGCACCACAATGAGTCCTCCGCACAGTTTCGCAATCCGCGACCTGCTGCCCGAGGCCTCGTCCCGCTCGCCCAGCCCTTCCGACACCGAGCTCGACGTCACGGGCACCGAAACGCCGCCGCCCGGATCCTCGCAAGTGAACGATGATAAGAAAAAGAGCGAGAAACCCGCTTACAGCTACAACGCTCTCATCATGATGGCCATCCGCAGCAGCCCCGAGAAACGACTCACGCTGAACGGCATTTACGAGTACATCATGAAGAACTTCCCTTACTACAAAGAGAACAAGCAGGGCTGGCAGAATTCGATTCGCCACAACTTGAGTTTGAATAAGTGTTTCGTGAAAGTGCCGCGGCATTACGACGACCCCGGTAAAGGCAACTACTGGATGCTGGACCCGTCGTCAGACGACGTGTTCATTGGTGGTACGACGGGAAAACTGCGGCGACGGTCGACGGCGGCGTCGCGGTCGCGGTTGGCCGCTTTCAAAAGGGGCGCGATGCTGCATCCGATGTTCGGGAACCCGTACGCGTCACTGGTAGGGTTGTATCCCCCGTTGCTGTCAGTGTATGGAAGGTACGCGTTACCGAGTCCTTTATTGCGGTTGCCCCCACCGCCTCCGAATCCGTACCACCAGCTGTATCGGCGGATCCAAGGGCTGACGCCGCCGCTGAGCCCGCCGGGGCCCGAGCCCAGCTCGCCCGTGATGAAACACAGTTGATGGACTGGTTGTTGACTAAGAATCTGAAGGTATCGCGGATGAGCCGTAAAAAAGCGGCCCGCGATTTGTTACAGACTGTGATAGGAACGAACGATTGAGTGTATTATAATCGAATTCGTATTTGTAAAAAGTGGTATTGCTATTTATTATTAAAACTTAAGATTATATTTAATGATTTTAATTTAAAATTAAGAGGCTTAAGTTTATTGAACGCAATAAAAGAAGTTTCAAACAATCTCTTAAACGATTGCGCGATTTTTATTCTCCTGTTTCAAGAATGCTTCCCACATTCTCTTTAGGCCTAACCATACTCACCTACAATATCTTTACAATCCACGATGTGCGTAGAGATTGATCTAAATTTAATATATATTTTGTACATTAAACACAATTATGTTTTTGTTTAAGATTACGACATAAATACCTAACCCATACCTATTTGTTAATCAGAATCTACTTATGTAGCGCACATAGCGTACAGTACCTATTGAAAATGTGGTAGCAAAATTCCCATTTCAGACTTTTAAAACATAATTTTATAATATAATACTCTATTTGTATTTTACATTTTGTTAACTGGCACCGTGTCATGTAAAAACAACTTAAAAGAGTCGTAAACATTATAACATAATTTATGTGCTGGACTTACGATATTAGCGCATAGTAAATATTGAATCGTTTGGGTGACACATTACGGCCGGCAGTCTAAACAATTATCGCTCGTATTTATGTACCGGGGGTGGTGTAAAGTCGTATGTTTTAGTGCTGCCATGTGTTTGGCTGTCACAGACGACTGGTGAGAAAAAGTGAGAGTCGGAGGTGCCAACAAAAACATTTGTAACGCGACACCGATTTTAATCCCGGCAATGTCCGCCTGCAGCCATCGTTCATCTTAGGAGACACAAAACATCTTGCGCTCAATAATATTGTGAAAAGCTGCGAGTGTATACCTCGAGTCGTTCATCATTTGGTCATGCTAGCATTGAAAAATTTGCATTTCGTTTGATTTTCTTTTTAAAAATGAAGAAATGTTCAAAATAGAAATACGTAAATAGTAGTAAAAAGTCTAAACTAAAAGAATCATCTAAATGTCAAATCATATTTAAACAGCATATAAAATTAACCAAGGGAAGTGGACGCAACTCCCCAAACACGAACACGTACATAATTATCACCATATCGAGAGCCATTAGATAAAAATTATGTGAGGATGTGTGAACGCGAGGTGGCCACATTGCGTTGTTAAATCGTCCTCATCCCAGAGACAATTAGAGGCGACCATAAACAAGCGATAATCCGCGGATTATATTGAGCGAACGCACTCGGCGGCAGAGGCGCACACTTCGGTAAATACTTGTAAATCTACGTCAAAACGCAACGACACATACATATGTCTTAGGATTAGCGGATTAACCCGTTTCTCTGTTATTTTCCCGTATTTCCAAAATGACGACTTCCCGCCAAAACGGCTAAATCTCGCATTAAAATACTTTAAATATGGCAACGCCGTCGTCGTGCGCACGACTTTGGGAAGACCCTAAATTGGGATTTGCCAGTTTGTTTTTGTTGACTTCTCCAAAGTTTAGATAATTGGTTGTTGATCCTCAGCTATAAATAAAGGTATTAAAGTAGCGTATTTTAGTTAAAGTTCCGTAAAAACAAAACACTACCTGGAAGTTTTACTTCAAATTAATTTTTGACAACATAATCTTTTGGAACGCACGTCTGCCGTCATTTTGATAATTATAGGTAAACAAAAGAAAGAATTTATTATTAACGTGGCATGACCGAAATAAATCGCAGGTTCGAAAATTGAAACGCCCAATCCTTTCAACATATTGTCGTTGCTAATCTTAGAAAAAAGAAAGTTCGGACAATCGTCGAATGGTCTCTATTTATAGTTCATACCATTTTGCGAATCCTTTCATTGTTTGTCCACATTTAGTTGATCCGTTTACGTACGTTAGACGTTTATTTATACATATTTGCTGTATGAATGAAGTTTACTAAACCCTTTGAGACGGATGTTTTTCTTGCCAAATTGTGTCCCCGAAATGGGATTTGTGCGTGATTATGAATTTTGCCAAGATTTAGCAAACTTATGATAATTGTTCCGTTTGTATACCATCCATTCATAATATTGTGAGCAAAGAATTTGTGTGAATCGAATATTATCGCTCGAAGTTTGCAAATTCGAGATTTCCTTTGAGTTCTTTTGAAAGATTTATAATAATGTCGAATGTTTATAACAACAATTATAAATAACTTGCAGTTGGTTTAACACATTAATAAAATGTTACAATGTAGCTCAGGAATTTCTGACATTTCTTTAAACAAATATTTTATAATCGAAATAGGTGATTGTAGAGTTGGGAAATTTTTTTTACTTCGCACAAAAATGTTACAGACGTAACTCGAACTCTGGTTCGGATTTTTCTAGTAAAGTATCAAAAGGTGGATTACCTACATACTAAATTAAGGGATTTTGGTCGATCACGGTCTGTTCTATAAATGTTTCAGGTTGGTTTCCAAGTGGTAAAATATACATAAAAATTACGCACTCAATCAACCTTACATTTTGTGGGTTGTAAGGGCATCCCTCACTCTCAGCAAACTTTGGGTAATGACTGCTAATGTAGCTCTCAGCACGCGAGAGATGTTTATCATGTTTAACAAATGTTTACCGCGAGTCTTGTTTATGTTTACGGCGCGTATGAACTCTCTGATGTTGTACCATAACATTTTAGCGGTTCCCCGAACAACTGTTCCGTTTGGTTTTTTTTATCAACTCTTCATGTAAAATTAGATGTGTTTGGAGATTCGGAATTGGATGAAAATTACGTTCTTTATTTGACTGAGTGCTTGACATCAACTCTATTTATATATATCATAATGAAGAAGAGAGAGGTTAAATGTAAAAAGAATCGGTCTTCTCTGTAGTCGTTTTCTTTTTATTGGGTCGGTTCGTTATACGTCAAAACTACAATTAATGGAATCTAGTCACCCGAGTAATTTCCAACGCTTTAATTTATATTCTAATTCATTAGATATAAGTACATAATATATTCTACAGTTTACAACCCCTTTGGTCATTACTACCCTAGTAATATTGTGATGTAAGATACGCTACCGTAAAGTTTCTAATTTTCTTGTAAGTTTTCCTCGTCTTCCTGATTCAAGAGATGTGGTAACAAATAATATTTACGATATTTTTTGTGGGCCTGGACACTGACCACTGACCACGCAGCGGCGAGTTCAAAGCCGCGATCGGATCAAACGCGCCGCTGCGTCCGCGCACAGTACTTTTCGATACCATTCATATTAGAGACGTAAGATTTGATCGATTTTTTTGAGAATCCATATTTCGTCGATAGTGTTGCGAATAATTTGTTTGAAAACTATAAAGTTAACGAGAGCCGAGGACGATAATTTTCATGAGTCTGGTAAAATGTTAAATGGATAAATACATTACATTTTTTATTGACGAGATATTAGATATTCCGGCGAATAAATGTAAGTGACTTCTATGCACTAGACATGGATACAAACGAGAATAGTTTAAAGAGTACTTTTTATTATTGTTTACTCATGATAATCAGCTAAACAACTGACTTACAAATAATGAAAACGGTTATCTAATAAATAATTCTAATCGTGAGTCGTTGTTCTTGTTTTGACTTAGTTCCAACAAAAGCTAGTAGGTACCTACGCTGTTCTTAAAAATAAGTTTTAAATTTATAAACGAATGTCACTTTTAAAATTCATATAACTTCGTAAAAGAAAGAGTTAAGTTTCAGTTTCTGTACATTTTTTTGTTTAAATAACCATGCGCGTGAACCTGCTAGACCTCTATTACGATTTTAAATCAATTCTAATTGAAATGAACTAGAGTACATCCCTAGTACCGGACAGCGATACCATTTGTATCGGCTTCGCCTAATGAGAGCGATATTTATCTTATTTGGTGTTAATTGCGCAGTTTGCTCAAGATATTAATCTCCTCGAGAAAGATTTATCCTCAACCGATACGATTTTCAGTCTCATGTAGGTATTAGTTATTGGTGCTGTTTACAGCTTGATGAAGTCTACATTTCGCGCACTCCACTCACTTTATGGTGACGTCATTAGTGAAGTAATTTTTTAAAGTAATGTACGTGGCACCAGCCTTACGTGCCATTTGGCTTGCTGAATATGACTAATTTATGTTTGGTAGGAAAAACGATAAAGGCGTTATTTCGAAATAAGTATTTTCAAAATTGGCACAACGTAATTAAAATCATTTATCGTCGCCTCACTTTCTCAAACTCTGAAATGCAAAAATTGGATTAGATACCTATACAATTTTTGCAAGCTGATTTCACACACAGGCTTTTACTTATTCTTAAAGTAATGCAACCAAATAAACCCCATTGGGAAGAAATTTAAAATAAATATAAAGTTTTGCCATCTCCTGAAAATCACTCTTTATAAGATATGAGTTTGAGAAAGTCAGGCATCATTGTTTACTACAGCTTACTTGTATATTTTCATTATTAAAACTTATTAAAAAACGTATAATAATAGTTGAAAGGATTTTTTAAAGTGCCACACAATCACAATGATTATCTGGTCTCAAAGTAGAAAATTCCCTGTACGATTGAATGCCAGAGTAACGAAATTAATTCTGGAGCTTTGACCAGAACTCGTGTGGTGCTACCGGAATCATACTAGGCAGTGGACCGCTGAACCAAGGTGTACCATTATTAGCGTTTCCTGTAGCTTTTCAGTAATTTTCAACGTATACACTATTATATACACGGCAAACATGGACGGACGACTTGAGAAAGGTGGCCCGCAGCTGCAGGATGCGGACGGCACAGAACCGGGAGAGTTGACGTGCTCAAAGGGAGGCCTGTGTCCAGTAGTGGATGCGTGCAAGATGATGACTGACAGTATTTTAAACTTTCTGAGGTTCGAATAAAATTCTTCATAGTTGTTTCATGACTACAACCTGTCTGTGTTAACACAGCCCTTTATCGTTCATGCACACATTTGGTGAAGATGTACATACGACTTAAAACAGATATGAGAATATTATCAAGGAAAAGTTGATACAACACATCCGTGGAGTGGAGTGTTCATATACGTTGTCAAAATTGTTTTAAGGCATCCCATAACTTTTGCACCAATGCGGCAATAAATTGAAATGTACTCAGGCATGTACTTTTGTTAGTGCATTCAATAAAAATTTATAA